TCATTTCCAGTTCTACAAGTCTATGATTCTGTGATTCTTCTCTGAGAAACATAGCTGAATCCACAGGTCATGCACCAGGCACCCAAACTAGTAAGAAAATGAGGGAAGTTGGGGAGAGGGAAGGGGGGAAGATTAAAATGTATAAGGCAGAGATTTGCTTCCCTGGAAGATCTAACTGTGTGAGAAATGAAACAATGAGAATTCTAGAAATGCCTATGAGAATACCTATATTGATGTAAATATGCAATTTATATCACCAGGTATACAATTTATATCACCCAGGGAAAAGGAGCTTGTGGCCTTCGATGTTGCTGAATTTCATTTTGTACCATCTCTGACTGTGGCGATGCTGGCTGTGGCTGATAGGGAATTCTGCCACATCTGTAGGGCCTTAAGCAGAGTATGTATGGGTTTCTCTTACAGCAGGGGTGGCCAACTCCCAAGAGACTGTGATCTACTCACAGAGTTAGAAACTGGCAGTGATCTACACCCTTTTGGGGGGTTCAGGTCAAAGTTGTTGAGTTTTTTTCAGGGAGGAGGTAAAACGTTGAGCTATTTTTAGGGGAGCCACGGTTGTTCAGCTTCTTTGGGGGTGATCTACCGCAGACGTCCAGTGATCTACCGGTAGATCACGATCTACCTGTTGGACATGCCTGTCTTACAGTATCTTCTTGTGCCAAGTACTGCCAAGGTTTCCTGGCAATTGGCAGCCACCATTAATATGATAGCCTTTCTAAAGAATGGCCTGCCTCCCATTGATTTGTGCATGGGAAAGCTGTGTTTTGTTTTGTGGCCTTTACAAAGATGGGAACAAATGAATGCAAACAGCAGAAAGAATGAAGAGACTGGAGAAATTACCGTAATCTGGCCTGGCAGCTTACAACAGAGTTGGGGAGCTAGCACAGCAGGAGCCAGGACTGCTCGGGATCAGAGTTTTGCAATAAGCCTCACTGGAGCAACTCTCTCTTAATAAGTTTCCTTCCTTGTGCTTTCCAGAACTTTAGCCTTGCAGAACCAATAGTCTGACACAGTATGGCAAATTCTATACTCAGTGCTTGGGGGGAAAGATGGCACCTTTCCCCTAATCCCTCAGATTGGAAAGTCCTTCCTTCAATAACTGATGAATGAAATCTGCCTTGCAGTTACTTAGGTCTGAGAGAAAATGCACTCTGAGCCTCCTGAAGGAAACTTCCATATAATTTTGCTTGATAGGTTCAAGAATTGAGCCTTGGCACCAGAAATAGATTCTGGCGCAAAGTAAGTCCTGTCTTATTGTTTTATATAGTCAGGAGTTGCAAATATATTTCTCTTTCTTCCTCTATGTTAAGAAGGTATGAGAAGTCTTATTTCTTCATTTGGGAGAAATTCATTTTCTACCTGGTTGAGCACACGCTTCAAATGACGCAAGTGACAAGCTGTTAAGAGTGCGGTGGCAATCAAACCTCTCTTGATGGCAAAGTTAAAAATATGCTTCTCTGCCTGTCATAGTCTCAAAGATTTTTATTTTAAAGAAAGAAGTGGTATAGGCTGGTATTTTTATGCATTTTATGAATCCTGTGGAAATATTGTGTCATGAGATGATACGGGGCATATAGGTTATTTCTCTCTCCTGAGATAAAGCATTAGTATATAATGGTATTTAAAGCATAGCACCCTAATTGCATTTAAAAAAATGATCAGACAGTGGTCAAGAGTCCTCCAATATCATTACTCTAATTTTATCTAAATGAAAAGTTCATCTTTGTCTTGGCATTTCTGAAATTTTGGATGACTACAAATGTCACCAGCAGTGCCAGTGAAGGTTCATAAGGCAAGGAGCACCAGTCTAGGGTGGGTGGGAGATTCTCTTTGGGGAAGACTAAGACAAAATAGCACTGAGGTGTTAAATTCTGACCTTGTCATTAGGTTGTCGTTCCACTTACCTTTACAAATACTTCTACCCTTGTGAAGAAAGAAGAAACCCTTAGAGGCAATGTCTGGTAACAGGTCACTTCTAGTAGTCTTATGCTGCCTGCTTCACCAAACCCATGTGATTTTCCTCTTGGCATGTCCTTGTTGTCATGGAAATGTGCATGCCGAATATGTGTGACGCCATATGTCACCTTGCAGCAGCAGGAACCTGATGTGTGGTGCATGATGATGCAACAGAATTGCTAAACAGACATTCAATACAGGCAAGTGCATGGGATATTCTGTGTGTGTGGAGCAGGAATGGCAGTATTGTGCTGCATGTGGCATAGTCCTCATGCAAAGAAATAGCTATGTTTTGGAAATGTGCTACCAGTCCCTTCTCCCTGCCACTACCATTCTAGATACTCTGAGGAGATATTCCCCAACTTTGATATCCTTCCTCCCCTTCAAAAGAACATTTTGGTGTGTCAGCATTGGAACATTTTTATTACTGCAGCTACCCTCTCTGGTTCTCCTGCCAACTGCCCTCCCAATGACAAAAGGAGATTCCCCAGATCTTTCTCCTGAGGCAATGGATGTCTCTGTTGGCCTGTTGTTTGTCCTCCCACTTTGCTTCTTGTCCTGAGGCCTCCATTTTTTCAAGAGTGGGTAATAGGGCAGCTAAAGTGCACCCATAGGCAATGCCCCAACTGTATTTGCTCAGTCATGGGAAATATGCCCCTGGTGGACTACTCAGGTACCAACTCTTTCCTTCCCTATTGCTTTCAAGTTAATTTGGCTACCTTTCTGACAAAAACATAAAAGGGAGAAATCAAGGGAAGGAAAATTTGTGCCTCCCAGACCCACAAACTGTTTAAATTGTGAGACAGTAGCACAGCAGTCAGTTGACACCAGGCTGAAGGAAATGTGTTAAAACCGTGTTGGGAGATAAAAGAATTGCTTCAAGAACAGAAACTGGAAAATCTAGGGTGATAATAGGCACAGCACAGGAATGTAATGATTTGGGAGAAGTTTGGGTCACTACCTAAAGACCTGTCTGCCCAATGTTTGCAGGAAGGTTGGACAATGTCAGTTATTTCCTGAACATCCATTCTGATTTGTTACATGGTGCTGCATTAAGTGTTATCCTACACTTTCCAGAGCATTTTTCTCATAATGCTCCTTATAGCAGAAAGTTCCATTTTGGGAGGGGGGGGGTGGATTTGTCATGCAAAAGCATCAAACCAACTATCAAAATAGCAACAGTGCAGAAGTGCCCATCATCTAGATTATCAGGAATGAATGAGTGAGCAAATGACGTCAAAAATAGAATAAAATGGTCTGTACAGTGGTACCTCGGGTTAAGTACTTAATTCGTTCCGGAGGTCTGTACTTAACCTGAAACTGTTCTTAACCTGAAGCACCACTTTAACTCCTCCCGCTGCTGCTGCGCCGCCGGAACACGATTTCTGTTCTCATCCTGAAGCAAAGTTCTTAACCTGAAGCACTATTTCTGGGTTAGCGGAGTCTGTAACCTGAAGCGTATGTAACCTGAAGCGTATGTAACCCGAGGTACCACTGTACTATGGCAAAGGGTGCTTGGTTTTTTTCTTCTTCAATTTTAAAAGGGCTGGGGAACGTTCAGGAGTGTGGGGGGAATGGATTAACCCCCCACACTTGTATTTCCAATGCTTATCACACGCACATTCTGTGGCTGCTGCTATTTAAAGTTTTAAAAACAAGCACACATCACCAAACTATGTCTTTAATGTAAAGTGCAGTTTGGTCCTATTAGTGACCTTTTAAGGACAGGAAAGTTTCATTCACTTGAAAGCAGAAATTCCAGTAGATTGTGCCCCATATTTCACTTCCAAACATGCCTACCTGGCACATGTCACTTCAGTTTTGGCCTTCACTGTCTTGGAACAAAGTTTTGCATATTTCCTGTGCATACAAACCTTCTCCACCCAGAGAGCACAGTTTTAAAAAAATGTTTTGGACCACTCAAAAACATTTGGCAAAAAGGGAAGTGACTTTCAGAAGCGACCATATAGTTGTCTGTTAAAAGGCAAAATTATGAATGTGTGTAGGTGACTCCATGCACAAACACAGTGGTTTCATGAAAAGCTGCCATTCTGGACAGCAACCATTCCAGTTTCAGATACCAATGCAAACCCTGAGCAGTCATCATTTGTGATAGTCTGGAAACCTAGAAGAATCTGGTATTTCAGCCGAATCCATGTGCTGAACACCCAGCCTTTGCTTCTCAATTGTTTTATAATACCTATTTTAAAAATTGCACACAATGGGTCATGAATTGTTTAGTCTTTAAAACTGGAAATAATAATATGACTTTGGCATGAGAAATTCAAAAGAACAGGAGGACATGTCATTTAAAAGAATATACAGTGCATTTAATATATAATAGCATACTGTCCTGTAGTTTGCAGTACTGGAGGCAGATACTTTCATTCCCACTGGATGCCTAAAGCCAGCCTTTCCCAACCTGGTGCTCTCCAGATGTTTGAGACCACAGCTCCCATCTGACCCAGACAGCATGTCAATTGGCCATGCTGGTATCTGAAGAAGTGTGCATGCACAGGAAAGCTCATACCAATAACAAACTTAGTTGGTCTCCAAGGTGCTACTGGAAGGAATTTTTATTTTATTTTGCTTCGGCGATGGCAGACCAACATGGCTACCTACCTGTAACTAGAGCCAACTCTATGGGAGTTGCAGTACAAAATGCCAGGAGGGCATTAGGTTGGGGAAGGCTGCCTAAAACAACCAGTCCTATTCGCCGTTTCTCTCCTCTCTCAGATTTTGGTAGAACTGAACTGAAAGCATTCTGTGAACAACATATTTGTGCTGCTTATGCAAGAAGCAACTCAGAACTCAAAGCAAGGTTTAGTTAACTTGCTTCATGAGACAAAATAGACAGTGCATGAGGTTCTTTGTTTGGACAGATAGACAATGTGCTCCCATGTGGGCTATGACAAGTAACACTATTTTGGCAATACGACACATTATGAGTTTTAGAAAAGGCATCAGTCCTAGGTAGATGCCATCAAGGTTCCTGCCCCTTTGTGGAGGCACAGCTACTTGTGGTCCTAAACTGGTGTGGGCAGCTGCCCATTGAGTGTCGAGTGCTTGATGCTGTCATTCAAGGTGGTGGCTCGGAAAGTGTAAGACCGCCCTCTGACCGAGCCCTCCGTATAGAGCCTCTCCGGCTTGCTCTGGCAACGGAAGAACATGAGGAATCCATTGCGGTAGTTCTTGTTCATCCAGCCATAGAGCAGAGGATTAGCAAAAGTGGAGCACATGGCCACCACGTGGAACACGCTGTAAAGAAGTTTATAGTCATGGAAGATGAGCACAAGGTCAAGGTCAACGGCAAGTTGGAAAACATGGAAGGGGAGCCAAGAGACTGCAAACACCACTACTACCATGACCAGCATCTTTGTGGTCTTTCTCCTCCGGCAGTGGCTGTCACTCCTAGCAGTGGGACTGATGTGGCTTTTCAGCTTGAACCATATTCTGATGTAGGCATAGCAGATGATGGAAAGAGGGAGGACATATTGCAAGAGGAGCATGGATAAGCTGTATATGGTGGCGTCCCTGCTTTCAGAAGGCCATTTCTCAGAGCAGACGGCAATTCTGAGATTGATGGATGGGATTTCTTCGTACCTGTACTCTCGGAAGATGGCCAGTGGACTGGCTAGGACGGCGGCAACCAGCCACGTGAAAGCAATGATGGTGAAGCTGACCTTCTTGGATATCCTGCTATCCAAATGGAAAACAATGCATCTGTACCTGTCCAGAGCAATCACGGTTAAGGTGAGAGTAGACACATGGACACTTAAAGCTTGAGCGTAGGAGACCAGGTGACAAAGCACAGCCCCGAACTTCCACTCATCCAACAGAGTGTAGGCCAAGGTGAAGGGCAAGCAGAGCGTGTCCACCATCAAGTCTGCCAGAGCCAGGTTAGCTATGAAGAAGTTGGTTACAGTCCTCATGGTTCTGTATCTCACAATCATGTAGACTACTAAGGAGTTGCCAATGAATCCCAGAAGAATGATTAGGGAGTAGGCAGCTATCAATATGATCTGGACTCCCAGGATCTTGGTACTGTCCATCATAACATTACTGGATCCTTCAAGCCCCTGGCTAGGGGTGGCAAAGCCCTTTGCATGCCAGCTGAACGGCAGTTGTTTATCCAAGTTATGCTCTTCCTGGATGATAGTGCTGTTGGCTTGATCAAGCAGCCCCATTCCTATTTATTGGCTTATTTTCGCTTCTGGGCTAATGATTTATGTAAAGTTTGCAACTCCACCTGTGAACATGGAAACAAGAACACACAAAAAGGATATTTTAGATAGGAGGGAGGGGAAACCCTAGATATTTCAGGTTTCAACAGCATATCCAAGAGAGCATTTCAAATTAGGCTCCATCCCTAAAGTCCTACCAACACTCTTTCAATTAAAATTCATTGTCCATAGTTTCCATACAACGTTTTCATGGCTGTTCTTTGACTCAGTTGGATGCCCCATCTCCCATTTTTATCCACATGATAAAATTAATGCTGACCAAAGATCTAAGAGGCTGGTCTCAATTGAATTATTTGCATTAAAAATGTATTTACTTCAAAAAAATTATTTGTCTGAAATTGAATGGGCTGAAAAGACCCTTTCAAATGTCATGCTGATGTAATCAGATAAACCAAATCTTCTATTTAGCTGCTAACAACAGGCAGCCCTTGGCCTGCAATCTGCCTCCGTGGTCTCTGGTGACATGGGCTCTGCTTGTCAGAATAATTAAATCTGAGAGAAGGATGGGGAAGGAATACAAATAAATATATAAATCAATAAAGGACTGGGAAGGTAATAGAATCTGTGGTAGTTTGCCCATGATGGTGACATAAAGTTGCAGTTCCACACACACTTACCTGGGTGAAATAACACAGTGGGAAGCAAAGTCTGAGTCACATGGGGTCATGTAACATCCTTAGGCACCCACTGGGCCCAGAACCCTGGCTGGGCTGAGCACCACCACTTAGCCTGGCCCTTTGACTGACAGTCCAATCCACTGGTTGCTCATCAGCTGCATGCTGGAGCTGTGTGTTCAATTTCCCACAGTGCCCCTGAAGTAGCATTGCTTTGGGACACTGTGGGAAATTTAAATGGCTGCTCCCAGTAGGGATCTGGGAGCTTCCATTTAAATTTACCACACCACCTTGTAGAGATGCTTTGTTGGGGGAACTGGGCTGGGGGATTACAAAGTTGTTTCATCAGAGTGCTGCAGCCACCAGGTCATGTAGTTGAGGGCCCCCTCAAAGGTGGAGCTGGCTGTGTTTTGAATACACATACAGTCATCCCTCAGGTTGAATACGCTTCGGGTTGAGCACGTTCGAGTTCCGCTCCGCGGCAACCCGGAAGTAATGGAGCGCATTACTTCCGGGTTTCGCAGCTTGCGCATGTGCAGACGCTCAAAATGATGTCACACGCATGCACAGAAGCAGCGAAAAGCAAAGCGCGCATGCGCAGACATGCCGTCACTAGTTACGTTTGCTTCTAGATGCGAACGGGGCTCTGGAACGGATCCCATTCGTATCTAGAGGTACCACAGTATTTAGGATTGGGCTGTCAAATGGAAAGCCTGGAGGACTTTCTGGAACCGTAAATTTTTCCCATTGTAGTATACATTTTTTTGTGTTTTTATTTTCATCATCTGAATCTGTGAATTACTGGTAGTAACTTTATCAGTCATTGCCAAACAAGATATGTGTGGATCTCCCAGCATTTGATTTTTTGTTTATTTGTTTTTTTAAAGAAAAAATGAAGAGGGACAGTGTACCCAATTTCCCTGATTTAAATCATCCTATCATTCTGCCAAAGTAGCCATGGATAGGAAGAAAGACTGCTGCACTCTGGGATACAATTGGACTCATGAAGCTAGCATAACTTGACGGTAGGTTGTGATAAGAAATCAAGTGAGTTACATGCACGAGTGAGCAAGCTCCAAGATGCAGATTTGAAGAAGATAATGTTTCTTTCCTAGAGCTAGACACAGCTTCTAATTTACAACTTCCATTAAGCTTCATCTCAAATGAATATATCCCCAATGCGCCTTGAGTTTCCAGATGATAATTATCTCATCATCCAGCACACCTAGCTGCTTATCACTCCCCTTTGGAACATTTCAAACATTTGCTCTGACCATTCCATTTTAGCCTGAAGAAAGGTTATGTGAACCTGAAAATGTGATTATTGTGTTTTTGCATTTGTTCCTAAGCAACCTGCATTCATTCTCTCAAAAGAAACGTTTATACATTTCACATGCTACACTCCTCAACAATTGGATCATGAAGACTTAGTGAAATCAGTGAGGCAACTTGCAAACAACTAGTTTAAAGCTAGTGGAACTGAGTAATTTGGACCACAAATATCATTGACCTGGTTGTTGCTGGAGCATCTATTTTCACCATGTGGCTGTTGCGTTTTTCCGTGAAATGCATGCAGTGGTTCCTTAAACAAACGGGTGGGGAGAGAGAATGGCTGACCAGATGGTGATAAAGGCTGAAGTTATGTCACAATTCATAATAAATGTCCCTTTGTCCATTTATCACTTGGTAGAACAAAGTTCATAATCCCTCTTGGGAGCAGCTGCAGGAATTCATGTTGCTTGGCTGCTAAACTCTGCTGTATGGGAAGAGAGGAAGAGAGGAAGGGGCCTGGTTTAGATGGTCCTTCCTCACTTAAATATTATTGGCTCACAGAGACGAACACCAATGGGTTGATCTGGGATGGTGACTTTTGTAGTAGATTCTCTATGAAACACAAATTAATATCCCTCTGTACAGTTGTAAGGATAAAGACTGTCAGTTCAACTTCATTGCTGCCCAGAAACACACTTCTGGCTCAAGCCTCCCTTGTGCTGTAGGGGTCATATTGACCCAAACTTTCAGCAAGAATGAACAATAACTCACGACACAACTCAAAGCTGGTGACATATGGGATTAAGGTTGGGCATTGTGTTTCAAAGGCTCCCACACTGTCCTGTGTATTTAACCCTCATGGCCACAGATTTGTGTGTTAACATGTGCTAAGTTTCACTGTTGGTATGGCTTGTTTTTCTTGCCATTTCCCACCCTGCACCCCCACATACTGAACATTTGCAAGCTTGAGGGAAATGGGTATTAATTGCATGATGAGATATATAAGATGATGGCTGAGTTCACTTCTGATTTTAGCAGATTACTCTTGTAGCAACTGCCTATAGGCATTGCAGAAAAGCCTAGTGGTCATATTTAGCCAGAGCTGTCTAGGATAACATCTAAAAGTTATCATGAAATAGACTCACCACCACACTGACCGTTAAAAGTATTGCCTACAGACACCAAGCTATGTTCAGTACTGTGGTTGCAGTTCTAGCCCAAGTTAAGCACATTTATATTTTATTGATAAAGTGATCTTCGGATGAAGGGTGGTATATAAACTCCGTAATCCAGTCCAATCCAGATCTAGTCATGCATTCATTAGTGGCTTGTGCTTGGGGTAGCACATCACTGCTCCACATCAAAAGGAGCATCTGACTGAGGGCTGACCCAAGACATTTTGTTGCTTGATATAAAGTGGCAAATGGCACCCCATTGTCCACCCCCACCCCCAAGGTCAATGTGCATAATGTCCAAAGCCAGCCAAGTCATTTTGACACATGAGGCAAAAAAACAACAACAAACCCAACAAGCACATTTTCCCCACCATGGCAATAAAAATTCAACAACGACAAATTAAATGACTAAAATTATCCTTCTCTTTCTGACTAGTTCAACTGGATTCAGATGAGCAATGTAGCTGCAGATATTCATCCACATCAGCCACCCTGATTTAGATTGGTCTGAGCTTCTTCCCCGCCTTATAGATTATTGGCTCACAGATCTCTCTTGATGGTTCCAAGGATAAACACTGAAGTATACACACAAGCTGAAGCAACACAGGATGTCCTAACATGCGTGAGCATGCAATAGTTTGTCTATAAGACCCTTTTATCCAGTAAAATATATTGAGACCATGCAAAAATAAATTAATAAATTGTGCGGGTTTTTCCCATGTGTGTCCATGATACCATTCCCTTTACCGCTGTATTTGGCTTGACTGTCCCATTGACTTCCACATGCTGATAGCCATGGATAGCTCACTTGGTTAGAGCGTAGTGCTGATAATGCCAAGGTTGCAGGTTTGATCCCCATATGGGACAGCTGCATATTCCTGCATTGCAGGGGGTTGTGCTAGATGATCTGCAGGATCCTTTCCAACTCTACAATTCTATGATACTGTGAATCTGATAATTACACTTGATTTCCTCATCTCCTTTGCAAGTAGGCTGAAATGGACAAAGGCTGCACAGCAAATTATGCTTGCTCAGTTGTCTTCTTCATATTTTTCCCACTTCAAACAATTAGCTGCAGAGTAACCATTATTGTAGTTTCTAAAAGTTAACAATTAGAGAACAGTCAGAGGTACAATTATTGTTCGGACCATTTCGGATTATTTGTTTTAAGTGTCTTAATGGGTTTTTTAAAAAATAGGCTAACATTTCAGAATTAATTAATGCATTTCAGAAATGAAGCAAAGTAATAAGTGTGATAAAAAATAATTTGCAATGCTTCTAGACTAGTTAATATCATGCGGTGGATTTCACCCAAACAGAAATCACGTTTGCTGAAAACATGCTGAAATTTCAAGCTGTAGCCAGGCAGGCTCCTCGAGTATATGGAGAAACTGCTGGTGTTTCGTAAGAATCAAGCAACAGCTAAGCAGTCTTGCTGACTGACACAGGGAGAATAATTTATTTGTGACATGATATAGTTGTAAAAGCTCTAAGAGACTATTAAACTTTTTGGTGGCAAACATTTTGGGTACTTTCATGTGTCTTCTTTCCCATAGAAGCAATAACTAGCAAGGGTCATGGCCACACAGTTAAGGTGATACTAGGACAAGTTAAGCTAATGCAGTGAATATACAAAGCAGGGTTTCATAAACTGTGAGCAAGGGATCACCAGTGAGCCTCAACCCTCTTTCAGGTTGGCCTCAGTGTTGCAGCCTGCCCGGTGCTTCCTTGCTTCTTCATCCCACCCATGATTCCAGCATCAGCAGCTTCCCCCATGTGCAGTACAGAGGCACTCATGGGAGTGGGAGCTGACTAGAGAGTGAGACTGAAGCACATGAAGTTGGAGGGAGGAAAGAAAGAGAATGAAAGAGATTCGGAATGGGCAGAGTTGCTGGCCAAATGTGAGGGAAGGAGGAGAAAAACAGGAAGGAGGCAGAAGGGATGCTCAGGCAGAGGAAGAGGGAAAGAAGCAGCAAGTGTTTAGTGGTGTGCTGCTGCTGCTGCATCTTCTGCCCCCTTCCGTCTCACGCACACACATGTACACTTGCTCGCTTACTCGCTTTCCCACAGCCCAGCTTCTTAGCTAGGAAGCCTCCCCTCACTGCCTTCAAAATGGCAGCTGTCTCAGAAAAACAACCAGCCATTAGGCAGTGGTGCTGGGAAGTGGGCAACTGGTGTGTGCACATGTGCTTGCATGTGTCATGTGCTAGGACAGAGGAAAAGAAGGTGAGACTGAATGAATAAGACCAGGAGAGGGAGAGGTTTGAGTTGGGTGGGAAGAGAGAGTCTCCCTTCTCTGAGGTGAAAGGGCCCTCAGGAAGAGATAACAGAGAGAAGCTGTTATGGGAGGAATAAGAGTGCATAACAGGAGCAGAGAAGAGGGATCAGAGAATGTAGACCTTATTCCTTCTTCTCCCCACAAACTGAGGGGGAAGAGAAGGGTAAATGACAGAGATGAATAAAATACTTTGAAAGGCATGAGTATGGGAGGAAAAATATAAAATAACAAGCTTTCTCCACATGGGAGCCTCTGGGTCAACAAATTCTGCTGAGTCATGATACCTCCAGAACCAACCGGAGGAAAGGTAAACTATGGAACTCCCTGTCACAAAGAAATTGCTGTGGCACATTTTGAAGAGGAATTAGCAGTGCTTTTTTTCTTTAAAAAATGTTTAGGGGTACTCTCATTTTCCTACTCATATTGAAATACTGCCCCTCAATGAGGCCAAACTTAGATTCACAAAATGTTTAGGGTTATGCATACCCCTGCGTCCCCCCCCCAAAAAAGCACTGGGAATTAGATATCAATTAAAAGCTATGTCAGCAATTGCCAGCTGAATATGCCAAACGCTACACACTTCTGCCATCATTTTGTGACAGAACTGGAACCAGGAGATCTCTCAAACTATACATTTGCCATGGCAGGCAATTTACTGATTTCCTGGACCCAGAAACCCCTCCCCCACCCACTTTGGTCTTTCAAATTGTAGTGGTGCCCTGTGTGAGGCAAAAATTTGTTGCCTCGCCACTTCTTGCCTTCTGTTCTGTGTGTGCACTATGTCACAGTTGCGATGCCCTGCAGCTCTCCCCCTTGGTTCAACAGCCAGCACGGGAAAAACAATTGCGCTGCCCTACATCTGCCTCTGGGGGACGTGGGTGGCGCTGTGGGTAAAACCTCCGTGCCTAGGACTTGCCGATCACATGGTCGGCGGTTCGAATCCCCGTGGCGGGGTGAGCTCCCGTCTTCCGGTCCCAGCTCCTGCCCACCTAGCAGTTCGAAAGCACCCCTAAGTGCAAGTAGATAAATAGGTACCGCTTTATAGCGGGGAGGGAAACAGCGTTTCCGTGTGCTGCGCTGGTGCTGGCTCGCCAGAGCAGCTTCGTCACGCTGGCCACGTGACCCGGAAGTGTCTCCGGACAGCGCTGGCCCCCGGCCTCTTAAGTGAGATGGGCGCACAACCCTAGAGTCGGACACGACTGGCCCGTACGGGCAGGGGTACCTTTACCTTTACCTTTACATCTGCCTCTGCCCACAGAGCTTCCATCCTGCAAGTTGTCTGATTCAGTTTATTACCCCTCATCCAGCCCAATGCTGTATGCAGACACCAGTCCAAGGCCTTTTCAGCCATTCCTGATTTAGAAAATACAGAGAATTAAAGTTGGGTATCATGAGCAAACACCTTGCTCCAAAACTCCTAATGGCTGCTCCCAATTGCTTCATGTAGATGTTAAATAGCTTCAGAGACAAGATAGTGCCCTGTGGCACCACATAATCAGGGGGCCAAGGAGCACTCATCCAATGCTACCTTCTGGAACCTGTCCCGGCGGTAAGACCAGAGCCACTGCAGAACAGTGTCCCTTAAACCCATCTCCTGTGGAGTATCCAATAGGATACAATGGTCAATAGTATCAAAAGCCCATGGAAAACCTAGTAAGAGCAACAGGGTTGAAGTCCCCCTGTTCCTCTCCCAGTAGAGGTCATCCATCTAGGCAGATTCAGTCCCAAGCTCAGTTTTAATCTGGTTATGTGTACACAGCCTGTATTTGGACTGGATTAGTTCAGACTGCAAGTTGTGCGCATGCATGATAATGTTCCTCCATGCAGCAAAGAATATTAGAATGTCTAGCCAGCATCTCTAGAGGGATTTAAAAAGAAATAGAGGAACGTGAGCCCCCATGATTCAGAAACGTTATACTAGAAATAAGTTGATTGTTACATAAATAAGTAGACCTTTTAATGGGACGGAATAAGATTCCAACATGATAGACTTTTAGGAAGCAATGGATTTAATTAAAGCCAGGAAAGTACTTTAGAGGTCAACTAAAGTTGAGTAAGATCTCATACTATGTTTTGATGATATAGGCTGGAGAATCAGGCTAAGGTACTCCGTAAGGTTAGAGGGAAACAGCTTAGAAGCCATTATGCTAATAAAGTTCAGACAACAAAGTCAAAGGACTTGAATTGCTGATATTGTGACTACTATACAACTGAAATGTGATAACATTAGTGGACATGCACTTCTAGGGTAGATGCCATCTATGAAAGGTGGAGCTTGGATTATCTGAACAGTTGCAAAACTACAAGGTTTATTAAACACTAACAGCACCCTAATGTAGAATTGATCTGCCCTAGTAATATGATCCTAAAAGTTCTTGATCTCCCTTTGGGGTGTGATTGGTGGAATAATGATCTACTGGTATCTGCATGGGATCAGAAATTACTCTAGTGCTGGATCAACCCTTCCTCTGCCATCAGAGGTAGCAGACTTTCTGGTAATTTTCTCGTGAATAAGTATAAGTAAATATTTACTGTAAGTAAATATTTGTCCAGATCTTAGGTTGACTCTTGATTCAGGCCTTCAGAGCAGATTTTTTTAAAATGAGAGCTGTTGTTCTGAAGGCAACAGGTTAGGGCACTGATAACTTGCAGGAGAGGATTGCAGTCCCTTCTTAGCAAAGCTTTCTCCTTATAATTTCCTGAGCCTCTAACCTCATGACATGGCATGCTGTGCAATAACTGAAAGCCTCCTGCTAATGCTCCAGATTTGATCTGTCACTGCCTTAATTATCCTGCCCTACTGAAGATGTGGAATCTATGTCACAATACAATTTTCGGTGTTAGTGGTGCCACAGGGCTCTGCTGAGTTTTGTGGGGGGGGGGGGGGTTTGCCACAACACACTGTAGCTTTAATTGCTTACCACAGGATTTCTGGGTTGTGCTTGTATTTCTCCATTTCTGCTTGCTTTGACTCTGAATTTATTTCTAGAACTGGAACCATCCTTTAACCAGAATTGGGGTCTGTGTGTGTGTGTGTAAGCAATTAAGAAGTTAGTGTTTTGTCACCAGATTCATATTTGTATGAAAACATGGTTGGTATACTCTCCACCTTTGATATTGTTAAATGGGCATAACAAGTGATACAGCTGAATATTAATTATTCTAGGTTTAAAAATTATCAAGAGAAGGTAAATATCGTTCTTTCTGTATGATCAATGTTTGGTAAGTAGTATTAAAGGGGGCATTTTTGGCAACCTTTTCAGGCTTTTGTCATTCTCTTTTGATCCAATATACCAAATTTGTTAATTTGGACATTAATTCTACATCTCAGAGCTTTCTGGACCCCTGCCCTATGTACACACCATATATTTAAAGCACATTCCCCCCTAAAAGAACTGCAATTTGTTATAGTTGCCCTACTCTGTAGATGACAAATTGTGGGCTTTACCCGAATGTGTTACCTGGAATAATACTTGGAAGTTAGCAGTAGCTTAGTGACAGAAGGCATGTATAAACAAGGCAAAGGGGAAGAGATAACCAAAAACACACTCTGTAGAAACAGAGCACTTTAATTAAAAAATTCCTCCCAAGAGCAGTGAGTTTTGATTGCCTCCAGCGAATGGAATGGGAGAAGCATATAGACTAGAAGAAAATAACATCAAGAGGAGAGGACCCTTTACAATCACAAGTTATCATTAGTGAAAAGCTGGAAATAAGGGTGTTTGAACCGCCCCAGCCGTCTTTCGCTGTTTCATATCTAATTATCAAGAGATGGAAGCCATTTCCATCACCAGCTTTGGGCATGAAAACGTACAAAGAGACATTACATTTCCTTCCAACTCAGGGTAATTTCTCCAATTGTTGTCCTGCTCTCCGTGTAATAGTGTTTATCTACCTTTGCCTTTTTATAGTAATAAAAGAGGAGCCTTAAATTGCTGCTAAATCCCCATCTTTGTGTGTCAAATTAAACATTCACAGCTTCCCTTTACCTCCATGCTCTCCCAGTTATCACTTTGGCTCCCTTTCCTCTGGCAATTAATTTCCTTTTCTTATCACAACTTTCATTATTACTCCTGCAGTTATTATACACCAGTTGTTTCACCCTTCCCTCAGGTTGCTGGTAAGGGGTACCTTTAAAATAGCAAACATGCCTTGTAGAGGATGAGGGAATGCTGAGAATAATATATACGGTATTTCTAAAGGACAACTAGCTAACTTTTCGCACCTGGGAGGAGTGCAATGCTATTTACCTCACATCCTGGAAGCAGTAGAAATACTGTGTACTGGTGGATGGGGCAGGCAGAAATGGAAGCATACCAATGACCATTAGGTCCCAGCAAGAAGAAGAAAATGTGATTAGCATTGCAATCCTATGCAAGTCTACTCAGATCAGCAGTAAGCCCCATCAAGCTTACTCGCAGGTAACATTTCATAGGATTGTTTCCAAGCAGACCAATTCTAGCAAGGGGCTGGGAGGCATAGAACAGTGAATTCACTGCCACATCCACAGCCCTCCAGCTCCTGCTCACCAGGGTGGAAGCTTGGCATGCTGGTAAAGCAGAAATGAACTGGCTTTGGATCCTGCAGATCCATCACCAGCCCTGTTCTGCTCTGCTCTCACCCCCAGCTAATACAGTCAAGAACACTGCTGGTGGTATCTTCCCAGCTGCCCTTGCTTTCAGTAGGGAGGCTCTCCACTACAGTTGACCCCCATCCACTGGAGGAGAGATGCAGCCACCTCACTCCCTCCAGAAGTGCTGAGCAAGGGCTTAGGATTCAGTTAAGAATGCCTTTGTTCCTAGTCTTCACTTCCTTTGTCCCTCAGACTTTCCAGGCGGTTGGAGGGGCTGCATAGCACGTACTCTGATAACACATGGCTGCACTCCTATGTATACTTACTTGGCAGAAAATCTCATTGGATTCAAGAGCATTTGCTTCTGGATAGGATTGCACTGTAAGGCTGTAATACTGCATTTTTATTCATATGTATGTATGTATGGGGAAGAAATGGAGGCAGTGAGAGATTTTACTTTCTTGGGCTCCATGATCACTGCAGATGGTGACAGCAGCCTCGAAATTAAAAGATGCCTGCTTCTTGGGAGAAAAGCAATGACAAACTTAGACAGCATCTTAAAAAGTAGAGACATCACCTTGCCAACAAAGGTCCGTATAGTTAAAGCTATGGTTTTCCCAGTCGTGATGTATGGAAGTGAGAGCTGGACCATAAAGAAGGCTGATCGCCGAAGAATTGATGCTTTTGAATTATGGTGCTGGAGGGGACTCTTGAGAGTCCCATGGACTGCAAGAAGAACAAACCTATCCATTCTTAAGGAAATCAGCCCTGAGTGCTCACTGGAAGGACAGATCCTGAAGCTGAGGCTCCAATACTTTGGCCACCTCATGAGAAGAGAAGACTCCCTGGAAAAGACCCTGATGTTGGGAAAGATGGAGGGCACAAGGAGAAGGGGACGACAGAGGACGAGATGGTTGGATAGTGTTCTCGAAACTACCAGCATGAGTCTGACCAAACTGCGGGAGGCAGTGGAAGACAGGAGTGCCTGGTGGGCTCTGGTCCAGGGGGTCATGAAGAGTTGGACACGACTAAACGACTAAACAACAACATGTATGTATGTATGTATGTATGTTGTGAATCATTCACCTTTCTGCAAAATTACTAGGGACTGATTAAGACTTACTTCTGACCACAGAAGTTGAGGGTGCATTGTGAAAGTACCTCTCACATAGTATCACTGGGTCGCTCTTCAGCGATATTCAGAGCACAGCTGCTCTCTCTGTACAGTCTTACAGCATCTGCAATTCCTCAAAAGCACTTAGGAACTTAGTGGAATGTCTGTGTCGTCCAGGACCTCAAGAGAAAACAGCCAGGGAGGTGAAATGATGAAGCCTAATTAAGTGATTTGTCCCAGGTGGCTCAGAAATCCAGCGGCAGAATACAGCTTTTAAGGGAACTGCCTTGTTTTGTTTTGTTTTGTTTTGTTTTGTTTTGATGTATCTGACACCTGCGAGCCACATGGGAATCTGGAACTACGCCAGTACCAGCACTGAATGATCCCTACTTGTCCAAACAGCAGATCAAGGGATTTGTGAGATCAGGCAGCACAGTTCAAATGAGGGATTTAGATAGCAGCCCTATAACAACTTGCACAACTTTGAACCTCATGTCTGCATGGTACGGCTTTGTGTACATTGCTTTGTACTAAATCACTCACCACAAAGGTATCACCTGATCACTGCCTGACACCTTTTAGTCAGTTCTTTGTCATTTATTTATTTTTAATCAGGCAGGCGGCTAAAGCCACATTCCCAAAGGAAAGGTGAGAGATGGGGCTGTGCTCTGAAGACTCTGTGAAAAGATCCAGACAACACAGCCAGGAGGGGGCAGCCACCAACACTCTCGGTTCAGCTGTGTTGTTTTCTTGATGATTGCAACAACAATGTTTTACATTTAGCGTGAGACAGCACTCTGCTTTTTCCAAATCGGTGCTGTTTCGTCATGTCAAGCATCTGGCTCAGGGGATCAACAGAAACAGCTGTTCCTTGTTCGGTGTGATGCTTCTTTCAGACAGCGGAAAGTGAGGGGCAAAGGGAAAGTACGGAGGATTCACAAAACTGCAAGTTAAAATGGAACGCCCCGAAGCACCACAGAGCACAATCTTCAGCCCACTCCTCAAGGACCCCCTCCATGCTCAGTAAGCCAAAGGCCCCGTGCTAAAAACCCAAACAAATCTTCACACTTCTGGACTACAAATCCAGCAAAACGAAGAGCTATGTCCGACACCATATTCATGACGTCTGTCATAGCCTCATTCTGTTGAACCAACCCAACCCAGATATTTCCATCTGAGCAAGCTTTTTCTTCTCATGGGCATCAAATGCTTGTGAAATGCATTTGAAGATGACACCAGATATTCTTAAACATGTCATTTCATGGAAATTCAGCTCAACAGGATTCACTCCTTAGGACAAGTGCAAGAAAAACAGCTGTTTTCTGGTGGCACTTAGAGTAAATTGCAAAGCTGTCTAGAAGGGGGGGGGACAGGATGGGCAGCAAATGAATTGTGCTTAGGTTAGGTTATGCATCTGGTATTCCCATTGTAAGGAACACTTGTAGGGGTTCGCTTTTTTAAAACCTATGCCCGCACTGCTCCTCAAGCATGAGTTTCCCGTGCAGTTGGACTAGTGAAATACTTTCTTTGCCAGGAATTAGTCAACAGTTATGCCTGCGGATGTGATCTGCCATGCACTTTGCAAAGGGAGGACAAGTATGGTGTGGAGGAAGGAAACAGAGAGCACTTTGCTGTGTTCACATGACATCGTTGGCATCAAAATGCCAACCCAAGTTTTTCTACCATTGAACCTGAATTTTCCCTTTCTGAAGGAAATCCAGTAAGTTGTGTTTTTTAAAACTACCTGTTGCCAATGACTTTCTTGTGATATCTCAATGGCCTATTTGCGATATCTGGAAGCACCTGGAGTCTCTTGAAAAGTCACTCCCTCTCTGTTGCATTTAACTGCTACACAGAAGCTGTTACAGGCTACAGAATGCTCAAGAACTGGCCCGTTCTTTTAATTCTATGTGTAGGATGCAGCCCAGAAGCAGGCTGAATGTAGCTGGCAAAAGAGAATGTCAAGGTGCACCAGCCAGAACCTTGTCCCTCAGTCTGTAAATCCAGCATCTGCAGATAAAGGAGAGTGCTTATAACTAGTCAGTGACCAGAAGAATCAGACTTCAAAAGCTTCCTGGGAAGGTGAATGAGACCAGAACCCTCCAACATCGCTGTGCTGTGCTCTGGAGATAGGAATAAGTCCTATATGCTGACCAGTAAGTGACCCACCTTTTGCACATCTTTCTCCATCTCATCCAACAAACATTTGGAAACTCCTAGCACTATTGCTTGCAGCACGTGCCTCTGTACCACCACCTGAAGCTTAGCAACAGACAATATTCCTTTCAGAGAAACAAAGGCGACAAGGTGACACTGCATGAACGATCACTCCCCATTGTCTCAGTTCGTGGGTTTTGCAAATTTGTGTAGCGGTGGTTAAAAAACCCCCTGCAAAACATGTTCAACCAGAAATGAAAGAAATAAGGGTATATGGCTCCACAGTGAAGCTATGCTTCCATGTTCCCACCTTCAACTCTCTTAAAAACTATTGTCTGTCTTCAAACTAAAATTAGCTTTCCAAGAATGCTGTTTTATAAGTGATGGCAGGGGCTGATAAAACATGCTAATTCTCAGCTGTACAGTAAGAGACAAACACTTCTCTCCCACCAACAAAATAAGACGCACAGAAAATGAAAAAGCATGCCTACCCCAGTTCTAATTGTCCTTCCTGGATGATGAATAAAAGGAAAGCCACTTACCTGAAGTTACTGTTTCATTGCTGCGACGAACCAAGCTCCTTGCTTCTGTCTTCGCACTCTTCTTTCCACTTTGTGAAATCTCGTGGTGGCCGAGACAAAAACACTTTCTCAAAGTAATTACTTTCAGAGAGCAGCCTTCCTCCCCCTGCCCAATTACAAAGGAGCCCTTTCCCCAAGAACCTGCTTCATTCTTGACAAAGGGAGAGCTGATGAGGGAGGCTTTGACTTCTGAACATGACTGGCAATCCCTATCCCTCAAAGCTGGATGCTCCGTGATGCTGAAAGAGAGGGGGAGTGTGCTTAACCAACGGCAAAGCACTGGGAGAGAGGGAGGGAGAGAGAGAGAGCCAGCGGTTGCTGCTGCTGCTGCTCAGGGATTGCTCAGCCCCCACTGGGCTTCTTACTGAGCTAAAACATCCTATGACAGTGACCCAACTGGATTCTCTGGCAATGAAATATAGGTTACAGATATTTCTGTAGAGCACCATCCATATGGCATTCAGAAATCAGTGCTAGGTTTGCCCCTGCTACTGAGCAGCTTGATAGCCCTCGGCAAGACCTCCTTTTCTTTGTGCCATTATCCATGCCTTCTCATTACGTGATAAATATTTTGAAATACAGATGAGGTATTATCCTTTCCTAGCTGTTGTATATCTGCAGTAACTCACTTAGGTCTGCTTGCATATTAGCATATCATAGCAAAACATGCCATTTTGGATATGTACAAGGTTTCCTACAGTATGTGATGTGCTTGCATCTGGCAGCATTATTCAAATAACTTGTTTATTTATTTGATTATTGCATTTCTAATGGCAAAGCCTCGTGATTTCATTTGGAGGGGATGACCTTTTGATTGCTATAATAAACCAATATATACTTACTCAGAGGAACTCCCATTGAACTCATACAGCTTACTTTCAGGTACACATGCATAGGATTGGGCAGCAATCACAATACCAGAAATAAGTGCATGGAATGCAGAGTATCATGCAAACCTTTTATTTTATTTTTTTTAAGAAAAGCAATGTGGACCAGGCCGAGTTCCATAGGTCCTTAGTACATCTAAGAACATGAATCTCACCTTTAAGAACTGTACTGGTATACACACATACCCTGTCCTTACCATTTTCAGAGTTAGGGTACTTCCACAGTTTATTGTGGGTTCACACATGCATGTTTTTCACAGCATCTACACGTTGCCATCCTCATCAAAATGCCATCCCATATCTCCCCTACCCCAATTTAATCCTGATTTACTGTTTCCATGTTTTGTTTTGTGTTTTACTTATTAGACTTTCTGAAGAAAAGGTAAATCCAGATTAAATGGAAAAATAATATGGGGTGGCATTTTGGTGAGGACAACGTTGTGTATGAGGCAGCCCCACTATTGGAAAATTGGTAAACGTTTGGAGGAATTGTGGCAGCACACTTGATAACAAAAGGAATGATGTGCTGATGAATTGGATAATATAAATAAGTATCCTAAAATGGATACCAAGTTTCACCACATGTGAAATTTCAAAACTAACCAGAAGCTCCTGCCAGAGCAAATGATTCAAGGAATTCTGAAGCAAAAGGGGGGGGGGGAGAGAAAAGAAGATGTTTTGATAAGGATATCAAAATTTCTCAAGGGGGTTGTGTGCACTCCTAACCTTGGTGCATGATTTACATGTAAATATATATTTCACGGCAACCGCATTGATTCTCAATTGTTCTGTTATTAGGTAGAAAGCAATATAAATAAAGAAAAAAGCAGAAGTTCACCCAAGATTGAAAGCCAGCATAGCAACCAACCACAGATCTTTAGAAAGAGTAGTCTTTCGGATAACAGCTATGCAGCTGAGCTTCCTGCCGGCAGGGCCTGCAGAGATACAAGTGCCCAGTCTCTTCAGCTTGAAATCTAGGAACAAAAGAGGCTGCCTTATACTGAGTCAGACCAATGAGCCATCTAGCTCAGTATTGTCTAAACTGATTGCAGCAGCAGCAGCAGCATTCAGCTGGGCAGCGCAGCCAGGACGGCATTGCACACCTGGCTTCCCAATGCCGAGTGTTACTGCTGCTTACTGAGAGCAGGGAAAAGCAAGGAGCTCAGCAGTGTGAGCACAGCAGCACTGAGCCCTTCACATCTTGCCCAGTGCTGCAGTTACGTATAAGCTAAACAAGCTATAGCTTAGGGCCCCACTCTCTTGGGGGACCCAAAAAAATTTAAAGGAAAAAAACCCTGGATGTACATTTCCAAAATATAAGATAAAAAACAAATAAAATAAAACCTACATACAGCAACAGTGTTTTGTGTTGTGTAGGCTCTAACAACAACAACAACAACAACAACAACAACAACAACAACAACTTTTATTGTTCAGGCTCAGGGCAGCTAACATCAAATATAAACATTGATATAAAATCAAACAATAATTAAACCACCTCTTAAAAACAAACCAGGATAGAATTAAAATCTGAATTAGATGGCTTTCCGCAGGATTTGGGTTGGGAACAGTAAACGCTCATCAGGCCCAACTGTGTACGCTGATCTTATATGGGCCTGTGAGAATGCTGCGAGGTCCCTTTCGTACTAGTTCTTATACAAAAAGGGCTGAGCCCTGACCAAAGACCTGGCGGAACAACACCGTCTTGCAGGCCCTGTGGAAAGATGTCAAATCCTGCAGGGCCCTGATCTCTTGTGGCAGAGCGTTCCACCAGGCCGGAGCCAAGGCCCAAAAGGCCTTGGCCCTGGTTGAGGCCAGCTCATTTCTATATACAGTGGTACCTTGGTTTTCAAAATTAATCCATTCCGGAAGTCTATAACAGTGACAATTTGTTGTTGACAAAGGACAGCTGGACAAATAAAGGGCCTCAGTAGCTTAGGGCCTCATTAAACCTAAATCTAGCCCTGGTCTTGCCCTGTCTCTCCCCCAGTATGTGGCAGTGATTGGGAAGTGAGGTGTGCAGTGCTGTCCTGCCTGCACTGTCCCACCAACTACTGCTGACTGACTGACAGCAGCTCTTTAGGACTTTGGACAGGAATCTTTGCTGGTCCTGCCTGGAGACATAGTAAAGATACAGCCCTTCCCCAGTCTAGTATTGAGAGGATAAATATCAGTGCTATTTTTCTAGAAAAAGAGGTGCCAGAACTCACCATGAACGCCTTGTTCTCTTATTATGCTGTTGTTCTCTTATCATGGCAAGGGCGCCCACCAAGAACTGAGTTCCGGTGAGTTCCAGCTGAAAAAAGCCCTGATAAATATGCAACGTAGAACCCAAGAATGAAGAGCTTTCATCTGCTTTCAAGAAACATGAGCCAATATAGCTTCAAGATGCACTCAGGTGCATCTCAAGCTGCAAGCCCTTGCCAAAGAGGCAAAGCTAGGCATAGCGAGCGTCTGGCTCCAAGGAGATCGTTGCTGGAAACCTGGCAAGGGGTTCTTTGTCGGGAGAGGAGCCAGATGGTGCAACAGACAAAGGAAAGCAGCAAACATGTTCAAAATGCAATTATCCTTCCCTTTAGCACATTAGCATCTCTTTTCAAGTCACCTGCGGCCTCCAGCCATTCAGTAAATGAGCATATGCAGCAAATATAAGCGTAACCATACTTGTTAATTTACAAGGCAAGCATTACTCAGAAGTCTCTGATGAGTGCTTTAACAACAAATGGGACCATATGTACCCCTAATAAAGATCGCCTAGAGATTGCCCAAGTCTGTGATGCTCTGTAGGAATAGCCAGGAGCAAGGAGTGAATATGTCACAGCAGACTTCCAAGCACCCTAACCATATGCTCTGTCAGACCCAAGCAGCCGTACCTTCCATCTGGCAACAGCTAGACTATGCAGTACAGAATCGGCGTTCTGTCTCCATCCACCTGGCAGGCTGCTTGGATATTGTAAGCATTGTGCAGAAGATAACTGAATGTCAGTCTTTGGCCCCTTGAGAGAAGGCATTTGAGCATGAGTGCTCAGTTGAGGTAATCTAAAGACAATGAAGTTTAATGATCCAAAGTTTAATGGTCCGACAAGGTTGTGTGAGAAAACAAATATACACAGGTCTTTTCACCATCAGGTCTGCCACATACCATTTAGCAGCCATTCAAATGTGTGCCTGAAGAACTCGCCTCTAGAAAGCTGGTCGTGCGTCCCCCACCGTATTGCAGATAGTAGATATGCTACATAGGAGAGGCGTAGGAAGCGGGCAGCCTCTCTGAAGGCTCCGAACTTTGCCAGATACATTTGGAGGGGGGAAGCCAACAACTCTGTACCAGGAAAAAGCACACATAGCATTCCATCCTGATGTTGGGAGGAACTAAAAATAATTCAGGCATTTTAAAGCAAATTTGCATACATTACTTAATTTGGATACTTTAGTTTGACGGCAAGATTTTGATTTCGGAAGATTTTGTAAATTGCTTTCTACAGTAATAAATGGTGCAGAGAAGAAGTGAAACACTGAGGCTGCAATCTGTTATTCTCACTTGCGAGGGAGTAAGCCCCACTGAGCTCAATAGGACTTCCTTCTGAGTAGGAATGTATATAATTACATGCCTTTATTCTATTCTATTTTCTATTCTGTTCTATTCTATTCTATTCTATTCTATTTATTTAATTTACTGCATTAAATCCCACCCTTTTGTCCAATATGCTCAAGGTGGCATGCATTCAACCCCACAACAACCTTGTGAGGTAGGTTAGGTTGAGAGGCAGTGACTGGCCCAGAGTCACCCAGTGAGCTTCATGGGATACAGGATTTGAACTCTGGGCTCCCAGGTCCAAGTCTGGCACTCTAACCACTGCACCATACTATGCTGTAAAGTGTTTTTTTAAAAAACAAACAAACAAACAAACAATTGAACCCTACTGGAATTTTGTACATATGCCTGAGAATCTGATGAAGTGTGTGTAATTTGTGGATCCTGAGGTTGACTACCGGTACATCAATAGGATCAGATTCTGGCCTGGCATGGTATTCAGCCTCCTCAGAATCCAAATTCTGGTTTTGAAGAAACGAGTTCCCAGTCTTTGTGGCCACAGGAAAAGGCTGAGAATGTTTGGGCCATGTCCAGCCAAAACTCAAAAGGAGAGCAGAAATTCCAGCATAGGATTCTATTAAATAGCTTTCCCTACCTACACTTATCCTTCATTTCCTCATCTTTCCCTTTTCCTATTGCCTCAGTGCATTCAGTGCCCTTGGAAATTAAAATCATTAGGAGCAGAATAAATTATACATAGTAAGTAAAGTACAGGGAATATTGCTTAATTTCTGTATTATTTTATTTTGATCAATGAGCACAGTTTTGGGGTTCTTCATGAGAAATGAAGGGTTTTATGCAAAGTAGCTGTTCAACTCAAGTAACAGATTTACCCTTGTGCGACTGGATTTACCCATCCTCATTTTCCTCTCTCACCCCCTCAAAATCTGCTCCAAATGCAAAGTACTTGTAAGTAACCGAAAGGAGAAGGAACCTGCAAGTTTCTTTTCCAAATTTGACATGCTGATTGAAACTTGCATCACTTCACATATTTATTTAGGCGCAGAGTCCTAAAATTGAATAATAGGTTTGCCTTCTGCTCATTTCAGTGACAAAAAAATTATCCATACCCAAAGCCATTTGTTGGACTTATTCCCCCTTAATTGGAATGACATTTCTTCATTCAGTCACAAGAGCAGTCTGGGGTAGGGAGAATTAAGCAAGAAGGACTCTTATTAATTTGGGGAATGTGGCGGCGGTGGCGCAATACAGAATCTTGACAGCTTGGATGCCAGCAATATTAATGCAGAAACTTCTGCCAGACTACATATGTCCTTTAAATCAATCCCTTCTCTTCTCCCACAGCTAAATCGGGTCCCAGTGGAGGGTTTATCAACCAAAGATTAGATACTGGGGGGGGGGGGGCTAATCCTGAATTTTCTGGCCAATAAACAAGTCATATTTTGTTGCAGACTCCGAGTTGCTTAATCAGAGGGGAAGTCTGAGTTTCCACCTCTCCCACAGCTACACAGGGTCAAGGGGCCTGGGATATTGAGAAATCACCATGGAGCACTGATGGAACACAGAAGCCATTCCTGGTCACAGCTTTGGCCCATCCAAAAAAGGCTGCAAAGAAGGGGACAGTGAGAAGCTTCTCAACAGTGTTGAACCAATGACCTTGTTGTTTTATGTGCACAAGGCCATAGACCATTACACCAGCAAATGAAATAGATGAAGAATAAAAACAAAACCTTATCACCGAGGAGCACTTCTCATTATTGCTGGAGGATAATAAACCTGGTCAAGCTTAATTTCCTCTTGATCTGCGTAATATAGAAATCCGCTGCAAGCCGCGCCACAGGTCATAAACCTTTGCCAACGCATTGATTTGCCATTGTGGTGCTCAACACTGCTGTGATTGTAGGTTACAGATAATTATCCTGACCTGGATTTCTTTTAGAAATCTCTGTACAACCTTGAGTCAAATGATGGTATGGGAGGATGGGGGGAGGGATGAATGGGCAGGTGTAATTGAAGACATTCTAACTGTGTGACAAGCACTCTGTATGGGCATACCTACATGGATGTCACCTAATTCTGCAACACCAAACATACTGGAGCTCTCTGTAATATACAGTGGTACCTCGGGTTAAGAACTTAATTCGTTCTGGAGGTCTGTTCTTAACCTGAAACTGTTCTTAACCTGAAGCACCACTTTAGCTAATGGGACCTCCTGCTGCCGCTGTGCCGCCGCTGCATGATTTCTGTTCTCATCCTGAAGCAAAGTTCTTAACCCGAGGTAATATTTCTGGGTTAGCGGAGTCTGTAACATGAAGCATATGTAACCCGAGGTACCACTGTATGTTAGCTGTGTTTCAGTTTGCTTATTGTTTCAGAAGGTCTGAATTAGATAGATTTGGCTTTAAATGCATATTGAATTACATTTCTCTTCTATCCCCAGTGGTGGCACCCCAATACCAGCTTGCCTGACACCGGGTTTGATGTCTTTTCAGCACCAGGTGATTTTTATTCTTTTATTATTATTTTTGCCCAGCACTCTGTGAACTAGTGAGTTCTTAGATCTGGTGGTTTTTATAGTTTTAAGCTGAGGCTGTTGTGGTACTATTGCTGTTATCAATTTTAGACCAATCTTATTGGTATGTGTTTAACTAGCAAAAACCACCCTGGAAATCATTTGATTGAAGACCTGGGTAGTAGGTTTTCATCATCAATAAATACATTGGGAAGAGAATTAAAGGCAATATTTCCATTAAGAAATCTTTCTCCCATAATTCAAGCATTGACCAGACCATTCACCTCTCAGAAAAGCTCTACTAGATGACACTCCAAAATGTAATCACATCTACTGCTGCAGAAATAGTGACCATTCTTCTTCGTTTCAGCTTTCCAAGGGTGCAGCCAGCACTGAAAACCCAAATTTGGCCAGAGAACAGAAAGCAAGCAAACATGGGCACCGAAAAAACTGCCTGCAGGCCTCTGAAAAACTGTTGTCTGACTCAGTACAAAATCTAAATTCATATTTCACCTGGTTATTATCACTTTTCCACCAAACATTCCATCTTGTGGAGAAATTGTGTCCCACAAAGTCTTGCTTTAGAAGGGGATGAGGGAGCCCAGAATTCCTAAGCCATGTAGCAAGTCATTGTGATGGATAATACTACCACCTTTCTTCAACCCCACATCCCTAAACCTGGCACAATGTGTGTGTGTGTGTGTTTTAATATATATATCTCCCCACCAGCACCACCATGGGATTCTTTGGAATGAAAAGCAGTCTAAAAGCACAATCAATCAATCAATCAATCATTCAGACTATCCAAATGCTTCTGCAATGACGCTGTCTACAGATCTTTGCTTCCTTACTTCACTGTGGGGTCGGGATGCATACAAGCATCTTTAATCTTCTTTGTACTGTAAAGTAATTATGATTGAATTTCTGTTCCTTCAACATCATGCTGAGAGCACCAGTCACATCCTGTGCTTCTAATTGGTTATATGAACCCCAGGAAAGTCTGTACTGTGAGAAAGCCAGCCAGCTAGCTATAGCTTTCCTCCATGATCAATTAGGGAATGATTTGTAATAAATATCCTTACTTCTAACAGGTCTGGAAAGCAACTTACAGGCTGGTGCAGATGGGCTCAAGGCCTAGCTGCATCATAAAGCTTATTGCCACTCCTTCTCTTACCTCTCCTCACCACAACTCTCTTAATTCTGCAGAATTCTGACACTGATATAAGCCCTTCAGCACAGAATGTGCTCTTATCAGCATTCTTGTCATAAATCAAGCCTGGTATCCTGTTGTCTCTAAATGCAGTCAATACTAGGAGTTAATGCAAAATGCTATAGAGTCTTGCTCTAACTTAGAGACAGGGTTATAGCCAACTAAATCAGTGTGTGCCTGGAAGTGCAATGGAACTTCCCTTCCCTTTCCTCCCCCTGGGCACAGTCAAAGAGAGATTCTGAAAGCTACAATAATATAATTCCCTATTTATCTTCCTGTATACAGTATATCATACAGTATCAACAAAAAAATCTACTGAAGATGTACTTAAGGCCTGCAAGCATTTGGAAGTTCTGTGGTGCACAATGGAAAGCAAGATATTGATGCTGAAGATCTGTGCTGTGAACTTATAATGAAAGCTCAAAGACATCCAAAGTCCATCTGCCACAAGGAGTACTTCTCTTCATCCTACAGCAAAAACTCTTGGATAATGTGCCTAATGTTTCTGTTGCTCTAAAGGATCCTTCTTACACTTCCAGTGTCAGCGGTAAGTGGTGAACAGTTTCTCAAAGTTCAAACTTATAAAAATTTACATACACTCAGCATTGTTGCAAAAGAGACTAGTTGGCTTGACAGCTGTATCAACTGAACATGCCAAGCATCAGCACTTGACCTGAAGGAATTGATGACAAAAATTAAGAGACTTAAATTTTAACATCACAATTCACAAGATTATTCAAAATGATTTGCTTCTTGATAATCAAGGATTGTTGTATTATTTATTCTTGCCATTTAGAATAAATTTAGCAGTTTCAGGTTTTGTGCTTTTCATTTTCATTTTGTTCATTTCATTTTTGAAGTTAGCAATTCTGGGCAAACAAATCAGGGTGATGCGTCAATGAACAGATCGCCTGGAAGCAGCCTTAATCCACAAAGCTGGATTCAGTTTATTTACGGTATATGTCAGACAGGCTTTGCTGTGGTCTAAACCATAGAGCCTAGGGCTTGCCGATCAGAAGGTCAGTGATTTGAATCCCCACGACGGGTGAGCTTGCATTGTTCAGCCCCAGCTCCTGCCCACCTAGCAGTTTGAAAGCATGTCAAAGTACAAGTAGATAAATAGGTACCACTCCAGTGGGAAGGTAAGCGGCGTTTCCGTGCGCTGCTCTGGTTCACCAGAAGTGGCTTAGGTACATGACCCGGAAGCTGTCTGTGGACAAACGCCAGCTCCCTTGGCCAGTAAAGCAAGATGAGTGCCACAACCCCAGAGTCATGCATGACTGGACTTCACTGTCAGGGGTCCTTTACCTTTACCTTTTTACAGGCTTTGAAATAGAGGGACTGTAGACAGAATGGGCAAGACCAGAGACATGCTTTGTAATACTTGTGACCATGGCTCAGGTATTAGAAGAAGGAACTGTATACGCTGCTGACACTTCTTGCCCTAGATGTGTATGTGGAATTGGGAATATATATAAGACAATTAGGTCAAGGAAAGGATAATTCTTTTGCAGAGTGGAGGCTATGACTGTCTGGTGCTTGGAGGAGTTTCTTTTTTAAATCATTCTGATTTGGGGTTTTTATTATATGGGTGATTAGTTTATCTTTATAGGGAGAAGAGGAACTAATGTTATCTTGTTATAGAGTTATATATGCCCACTCGACTACTTCGATCTGCAGAACTAGCACTGTTACAGATACCACGTAGTACTCATTCCGCACTTGCAAGAAATCAACCTTTTAGTGTGGCATCACCCACACTTTGGAAATCCCTGCCTATTGACATCAGGCAGGTGCTTCCACTGTGATCTTTTTCACGCATGCTAAAAATATTTTTGCTTAAGCAAGCTTATCAGGACATAGAATCATAGAATTGTAGAATTGGAAGGGAGTACAAGGCTCATCTAGTCTAATCTCCTTTTCCGCTTATTGTTCATTTTTAACTTTTTTGAAGGTTTAAAATATTTACTTACTTACTTATTGTTTTATTCCTTTTTGTAAACTGCTTTGAGCTGTTATCACAATCAAGCGGTCTAGAAATTGTGTGATGTATTTTAAAAAATGACTATCTGAAATGGCTAAGGTGTCATTTCTGTCTCTTCCCCAGTTACCTGTGCTGATGGGGAAAGTAGCTGGCATCTAGGGTTTGTCACTGAGAAGAACCACCTTCAACTGCATCTCACAAAATGCCACGCCCTCAACACAGAGGTCACCCCAGAAGTGAGGTGAATGGGACACCATCATCCTATTTTGTTATTATTAGCTAACTTGCTTATTTCTCCTTCCCATTGTGATTCCTCTCTATCCTTCCCCCTCTTCTTCAACTTGAAGAACTTGGAGAAATTTTCAGCTGTGTGTCTATCTAGTTGTTTGTTGTGTCGTTTGCTTAAGCTTGTAAGGTCTTTTTAATTGGGTTTGAAAAACAAGTCAGTTTTTCAGGATAATGTGCCCTTTCTTTTGATCTGAATCTCTGCTATGTTTCATGATGGATGTAAGTGGAGAGGTATTTATTGAGACCAGGACTTAAAGTAGAAGAGGAGGGCTGAGGAGGAAGCTTCCCCTTTATCTTTTGTGTTGTCTTCCATTGCTTTTTTCGGGGAAGTCTGTGAGGAGCATGATTCAGCTAAGATTGGACACAGTCAGGGTGTGGAACTTTTTGGCTTTACTGTAGACCCCCTACCTTTACTTCCCGCATTCAAATGCTGACCCAGACAACCAAAGGCCCAAGGATTCTTGGGTAGGGGGGGCTTAAAGCCAATGTGATCTGCAATAAGGACACATTAGACCAGGGGTGCACAACCTGCAGCCCTCCAAATGTTTCTGCACTACAACTTCTATCAGCCCCTGACAGCATAGCCAGTGTTCAGGGATGAGGGGAGGTTTTGTCCAACAACATCTGGAGGACCGCATGTTGTGCACCCCTGTGTTAGACCTTTGTACCTGGTCCTTGGTTCTAATACAATTTTCCATAGAACGACTAGCTGCCTCAAGCACAATATGGTGAAAGTTGAGCCAGCAGAAGTATGAGGCTAATCTTGATTCTGTGTGGTGAAACTTGTGACTGTATTTTGATTCTGTGAGAAAAGCGTCACACAGCTCTTCTAAGCAAGATTTTTGAGTTCAATACTTCTTCACAAAGCTAGTTTTCAGTTATATAAGACTGGCAAATATTTCTAAAGCATCCTCTCCATCTGTTTAATTCTGTGGGTGAATGTTATCACAACAAGTGTTTATCATATTCATTCAAGCTCTTCATAGCCTTACTCCAGATAGGCAGAAATTGCGTCACATAACTGAAGAAATTTTCCCTTTTGAACACAATAATGCCTAAATGCAATTAATTCAGCTGTTTCTGCGCACTCTTAAGAAAATTGCCCACAGATGCAATAAGGGGCTATGTTGACAAAATGAAATGTGGCAGAATATTGTGCTATCAAACAATACATGAGCCAATGATGTGATGCAGTGGCAAAAGACGTAGTATGAATATTATATCAGAGTTTAAAGAAATAACAATAGCACCACTGGAAAAGCTCCATGGAGAACCTTGTGTTCACTTTCAGGTATCACCATTCATGAAGGAACATCAAGAAGTGTGTGTGTGAGAGAGAGAAAGGAGCACAATGGGAATGAAATGGAGATTAGAAAGCAAAGGAAAAAAATACACAGAAACTGATTATATGTAGCATAGAATAATAATAATAATAATAATAATAATAATAATAATAATAATTTATTATTTATACCCCGCCCATCTGGCTGGGCTTTCCCAGCCACTCTGGGCAGCTTCCAAAAAAATATTAAAATACTGTAATACATCAAACATTAAAAGCTTCCCTAAACAGGGCTGCCTTCAGATGTCTTCTAAAAGTCTGGTAGTTGTTCTCTTTGACATCTGGTGGGAGGGCGTCTTAAATTGGTCTTAAGAGCTTTCAATTCTAACATATGGCTTAGGATTTACAGACTATCATTATGTTCTACATTGATATCCCCCTCCAATGATATTCTAACATTCATCACTTTCAGACCCTGCATCAACAGCCAGCATCTTAAGGCAGCTGCTGTGCCCACTTTGCCTTGCTAGAGCCTACCAGCACTGATGCCTCCCTATGCCAGAGAGGTTGCTGATAAATATTATAAAAAACTAAAACTTTTTTAAAAAAGGAAATTAGGATGGTTATGATAGGAAGAAGGTGAAACAAGGGTGCTTTTCATTCATTGAGAGCACGTCATTTAAATAAAACACACACAGTCTAACAAAGGAGCAAAGGTTGGAAATTAAGGTAGAAACCTCAACTAAAGGAGTTGTTCCTGTGCTTGTTCTGAACAGCTCTTGTGAACTGCTTTTAATGACACTTGCAAACCACATGCACAGTCTTCTTATTTTTTAAAAAGGGGCTCTTGTCCCCCTAGAGATTCAAGCCCCCCTCCCACCTGCCACCTGGAAGGAGCCAAGCAAAGCTCTTGAGGTCGGGCAACCCTAGTCCCCAAAAGGATCCAGTAGGAAGAGGATGTGAAGCCATGAGGGATGGTGGAGAAAGAGAAAGGAAAATAATGGAGTTGATGGAGTTGTTCATTAATAAAGTTTGCAGTTCAAGCTGTACTGCTATCTTCTATTTGTAAGAGAACCAAGATACAAACTCCATATTATTATTTTTATTCCAATACCCACATGATCAACATCTGAGGCCCTCCTCTCTTCAAGAGATGTTCAGAGGGTGGAACCCTAATTGCTTGCAGTTTTCACGTATTATTTTCTCCTAAAGTCAGAATTGTTCATCCTAGTAACAGTGCCATTGTCACATAGCTGAACAAATATGGTCTCATAACAATGTCACTGAAAACAAACAGACCTAATTCAGAGTGAGCGCAACGACTGCTGCCATCTCAGTGGCAACCACCCCAAACAGCATCTTCCTGGCCTGGATGTACATGTTTCCTGATCAGGTCTCTAGGAGACAGGTAACTCTGACCTTGCTTGCCTTAACTGTCCTTCATCATCTGTATTGCTTGTCTGTTTCTTTGTTAGCTTCCTTGCCTGCCAACCCTCTGATCTGATAATTCCGTACATTCTGCTTTCAATCGCCGTCAACGGCGGACCCCTCAGCTCTCTGACCTTGGTGATATTGCTGGTATCCATCTGTCTCGAGAGACAATGGAGTGCACTTCTGGGGGTGGGTGGGTGCTCCATCCTTCCTCCAATTTAACAACTAGAAAAAAGACGTACAAAAAAGTTCACATGCAAAATCTTAGTAAAACTATTATAAGAATGGCAGCAATCATAAAAGAGTTATCAGATCCAAAGTATCAAAAGATCAAGACATCAGAAATTCAGATTAGCCCACAGCAATCTGTCCCATACATCAGCCAAATCAATATACCTGGATAAGTATTATTATTATTTTAATGTATTACCCACCCATCACCCTAAAGTCCCAATTTAAAACAGAACATTAAAAACAGCTTACAATCACAAAACAGCATGTGTCCTAAGAATATACATCTCAGGTGTCAATGTAAGAGGTGTGTCTTTTTCTTTTTAATTTTTATTTATGATTTTCAATTTTATACATTTCAATAATTTTACAATCATTTTAACATTTCAAAACTTGACTTCCTTCCCCCTATTTCTTCAATTCCTTAAATTAGTTTTTTATACTTTCTGCATATTCCAAATTAACTTAAGAATTTATTCATCTACTTTAAATGTATACTCTTATAAAACTGCAGGTTTTTACAGTAATCCTGCCGATGTTCTTACCTGTTTAGAGTTTGTTTGTAAATATTCAATAAACCTTTTTCCATTCTTTTATAAAAAGTTTGTTATCTTGATTTCTTATTTTTCCAGTAAGTTTTGCCATTTTTGTGTATTCCATAAGTTTTTGTATCCATTCTTCTTTCATCGGGACTTCTTCTTATTTCCATTTTTGGGCAAATAACATTCTTGCAGCTGTAGTTGCATACATGAATAAATTTCTATACAGTTTGGGTCGTACTGTCCCTATAATTCCCAAAAGAAACGCTTCTGGGTGTGGTGTTGTTGTTTTTTACAAATGTTATTTTAAACATCTTTTCCAATTTCCAATTTCCAATTTCCCAGTAAGCTTTAACCTTACTACAAGACCACCACATATGATAAAAAGAACCTTCTTTCTTTTTACATTTCCAACACTTGATTTTGATTTATACATTTTTGCCAGTTTACTCCAATGTAAGGAGATGTGTCTTAATCTGACACCTAAAAACCACTAGCATAGTGAACAGCTGGATCTCTTTGGGGAGGGAGTTTCACATCTGAGGTGCCACAAAAGAGAAGGCCCTGTACCACATTGTCGCACCATGAGCTACAGATGCCAACAGAACTATGAGCAAGGTCTCTTTCACATCCTAAAAGCATAGGATGTTCCTGCCACCGCATGCCACACCATGCTGACTTCCCTGCGCCTCTTTTTAGGAAGCTGGGAGAGCAATCAGGGCCGTCTTACCCATAGGCGCTAGGGGTGCATGGCACCCAGGCGCAGGGCTCTCAGGGATGCCAGGCTGAGAGTCCGGGGCCTGAGAGTTGAGACTGGGGAAGAGCCCGCCTGTCAGTTGGAGTGCTGCGACGGGCTCTTCTGCTGCAGGTGGCTCTGCGCCATAAGTTCAGGGACAACCGAGCCAGCGAGACACTGAGGCGGCTGGCTGGCTCCACCCTCCTGCGCGCCTGGGACTGGGCAACCTGGGGTGGGCGGGCAGATCTTTGCATCCCGGCGCCGCATATGGCTAAGACAGCCCTGAGAGCAATGGATCTTCACCCATGCCAGCATATAAGCCACTACTAATGAGATAGCAGGTAACAGAGGAAGCAGTGCTTCAGATAATTGAGTGGGCTGCCTACCATTCTGTACTGCTATTTCATAACTGAGAAAATACTGCAATAGAATGTGTTACCTGGTGAGGTTATAACATCTTTTTTAAAAAAGATAAAATAAAATTGGACAGATAGCAACAGGGAATGTCTAAGGTACTATAAATTGCCCTGCCATAAGAAAATAGATTAAATTAGCTGTTCCAGCATCCCTCTCAGTCCTATGACAACACCCATACAACCACTCAAGACCAGAATTTATAAATCCCTTTGCCAGTGTCTTATTAAACTTATTCCTGCACAGTTTCATAACTAGAGGGATCTATACATAGAAGATACTTTTGCTAGAATGTGTGGCAGCACTCAGGGGTCAACAGTCAAAACCAGCATACAGAGCAGATAAAAGAATAAGATTTTTCCTGCAGCTGTGAAAAGGGGAAAGAATCAGGTGTGGAAGATAAGAGTCTCTTCCATAACTGCAAATCACAAAGCACCAAGTAAAGAACAGAGAATCAGACTTTAAAAGGTTAAAGTTGGAAGCTCTAGATGGGCTGGTCCTGAGCTGCAGTAGATTAGATCAGCTGTCAGTTAATATTGCAATTTCTTGCATCAGGGAAAAATTGATTCCTGTGGCAGAATATCACAAGCCATATCAGTCTATCAGTCGGGATTCCGGCCTCTACAGCAGGAGTTCCTGAGCTGTTTGCAAAGCTTTCTTTCAGATGCCGAGGCCTGGGCATGCTACCAATGCAGATACAGTTGCCATCCACACAATTATTTAACAGACATTGTTCCTGTGTCCAGTCAATCTTTTTTCCGCATCAGGTACTTTTGATTGCTGTTCTGTCAGTATCTGCCCCTTTTATATATTTCTAGAATGTTTGTCATGCAGAGGGTGGGGGGAAATAGGCAGGAAATACAGACTGGTTATTTTCTCCACTCAGCCTTCAGACTGACCTCAAGCAGGTCAGGGATGCTTCAAACAGAGGCCATCTTGGCAGCTAGACTACATCGTTGGGGTAGCACCAGGAGTAGGACTTTGCTAAAAGGTTTGTGATTTCAATGAAATGTGTCACTTGCCAAACTTCACTGAGAAAGGAGCCGCACAGGTTCTGTTCCAGTTCCGTAGCAGTCAGTACTGTATTCCACTGGACTTTGATGCATCTGGGTAAAACCAGGAGTTTCTTGGTTGGAAAAAGATGTGAAGTTGTTCCCTAGCTTCCTGACTGGTGTGATCTTTAAGCCTGCATCTAGCAATTACTCTTAGGAATGCAAAGTGAACTCTATAAGTTAGACATGGAGTAATGATGAAGGCAGCAGCAGCACGGAAGAAGATTGGGAGGGTGCTGGTGCTGGCATAAACACTGCCTAAATGACAGCTCTACACAAGACCAAAATCAGGGCTATTATTAGTGAAGTGTAAGTTGACGACTCCTTTGGATTCAGTGGCTCAGAAAAGCTGCTTGATTGACAGGCAGAGAGTTAGGATTTCCCAAAGTGCTTTGCTCACTCTGAAAAGATTTGAAGCGTGAGTTGCTGCTGAACAGGTGCTTGTTGAAGGCTGACTTTTTTTGGCACCAAAACTGGAGGCAGTGCACCTGCTCCCAGAAGGCCAGTAATTTCAAGGGGCTCACATGCACCTAAATCCAGTGGTGGCTCAGGAAGGGAGCAGCGGCAGTGCTATCCAATGGTATTGCATTTGTCGGGAAAACGGATGGGGCAGGGCGAGGGAGGCTCAGGGGGAGTTCTCGGTTGGCAGTGGCCCCACAGGTGCACCACTGCTAACCCAAAGTTTCTCCAGTCTTGTCTCCATTTCACCCTATCCCTGCCCTGCTGAGTGCACAACCACCACTGCCAAGAGGACAACACTGTCTCCACCACCGTGCTGCACAAACCAACCTCATGATAGGAGAAGTGGGCCCTCTCTGCCCCCCACCCTTACAACTTGACACGGAACCTGGGCACCAAGGCATCTGATCAATTAATTTATAAGAAGAAAAATGTAAAGGTTTGGTTTTCAAAAATCACATTTTAAAAATCCTGGAAAAAACTGTAGGAAATATGAAGCCTTTTCTTTTGAAGATATCTCTCTCTCTCTCTCTCTCTCTATATATATATATATCTATCTCTATCTCTTTCTGTCTCACTCACTCTCTCTGCCCTTGAATTTCTTGAGTCACTGCCCTTGCTGATCAAGTTAGTTATCTCTTTCACTTCTTTCATAAATATTGCTCTATAAATTCAAAGGAGTCCTGGATTCTAGCCAGGAAAGACACCGAAAGACAGTTCTTTGATTGCATGTACCACTCCTATGCATGTACAATTTGTACACTCACAAGTTCTTTTAGAAGTTCTGCTGCATCCATATAGTGCTCTAGCTATCAAATGAATCTATTTATCTAAGGGTAGGGATAAGTAGCACTAAAATTATAGGGGAGGTAAGAGCCCATAATGAAATAGGTGACCATGGGCTTCCACGGTTGTGGCAATCACCCTGTAGAAGAAACTATGCCAAGAAGAACACTTTTAAAATCAGCAAGTTAAAACATATTAATTCAGGAAAAGTGAGTATTTACTTCCAGTGAAGTATTACTGGAAAGCTAAATTGTTTATTTTAAAATAGGTATTGCATTGCCATTGGCTTTCAGCTGCTGCCAGTTTAAAATGTTTTTATCAACATACACTTTTAATTTTCTGTTTTATTGCCTGTCACTTTGGGTATTTAATAGAGAAGCAACTATCAAGCTCCATAATAAAATATAGGCTCATTTGGTGTTCTCTGGTTCCCATGACTACTGCAGCCATTCCCAGAGTTCATTAGTGTCTGAAATCAAGTGCTAACGTAGTGTTAGCACATCTGAGCTTTCAGATCTTTCTCCTCTGATAGTGAACACAAAAGCCCCCCTAATCAGCATACTTTCTAAGGTTTGTCCTCAACTTTCACAATGCATTTGGCAAATGTGCTTCTCAGTGATTCTAATGGTAATATACAGCATAATCCTATAATGCTTACTCAGAAGTAAGTCACATTGAGATCACTGGGATATACAGAAGGGATGCGGGTGGCGCTGTGGGTTAAACCACAGAGCCTAGGACTTGCCGATCAGAAGGTTGGCGGTTCAAATCCCCGTGACGGGGTGAGCTCCTGTTACTCGGTCCCTGCTCCTGCCAACCTAGCAGTTCGAAAACACATCAAAGTGCAAGTAGATAAATAGGTACCACTCCGGCGGGAAGGTAAACAGCGTTTCCGTGCGCTGCTCTGGTTCGCCAGAAGCAGCTTGGTCATGCTGGCCACATAACCCGGAAGCTGTCTGCGGACAAACGCCAGCTCCCTTGTCCAATAAAGCGAGATGAGCACCGCAACCCCAGAGTCAGTCACGACTGGACCTAATGGTCAGGGGTCCCTTTACCTTTTTAAGGTTATACAGGGTGAGTCTTTTAAAAGAGGCCCCGTGGAACATGTGTACTCTGTATCCATGGGGCCTCTTTTAAAGGACACACCCTGTCCATGATTGCAGCCTTTAGTTGTATGTTTGGCACCTCCCAGCATGCTTCAGATGCCTAGTCCACCTTATAAAAAAAATAATAATTGTCACATAATTCTTTTGCATTTGTTTGCCATTAATTTCTTTTTTTAACCCAAATCTATTTTAAGTTACAAAACCACTGCAGCAATTGGAGGTAGGGTTGGGACACTTCAGGTGGAATCCAATTATTGCAGTGCTCAGTTGACCTCTACTGAAAAATGGCAGAGCTGGTTTTCATGGAGATTAACCTTGGACAGAAAATTGTTCAGCATTCTGTTTACAACAACACCTCCACAGCAGCTTAACCTCAAATAATGTTCATTTATATCCACCATCAATGAGTGTTTTCTGCCCCAAATCTAGTTAAGGCAAACCTTGGGCTGAAATCTTGTATCATACAATCTTGACTCAATTGCCTTGAATTCAAAGGAGCATCTCTCTGATCATCAAAAGAATAACTGGACAAACTTGTATAAACTTGTTTTGAATTTCTATTGTTACTAAAAAGAAGGCTATCTAAAATTTTAGCTGAAACCTTCCTTGTGTTTGTTTTTTTAGTTCTCATTCCATCTTATACAAAGATTTGTTGTTATGGTGATAATTCCAGTAGGGTTCCAGCACAGCACAGTTCTGGAGATGTTATTGTCATTGTTATTATAATTACCTTGCTGAAAGAAGATACCATTATCTTTGTTCTGTATTAGACGATGCCCCATTTCTGACCTTTCCTTTCTTAACATTGTCTTCAACTTGTATTGGGGATGCTAGCGATATCTTTGCTGCGCTGCACAACCTTTAAAATTAAAAACATCTCATAACATTTTAAAAAGTAATCATGGAGGCATTAAATCCATGTTTTCATGAGGAGCAAGAAAGCCTTCTGAAAGTTTAGCTAAGCCACAGTTCAGAGCAAATTAGGGTTTCAGATTGGTTTAGATTTGTAACACAATATGAGTCTGTGGGCTGGTCATGCATCCATATTCTTCTCAATGATTGCAGCATCAAATAGCAACTTGCACATATGCACGAGCCTTCCACGGTTCCAGTTTTGCAGATGGAAATTTTCATATAATCTGCACAGTAATTTCCAGTGCAATCAATTAATACATTCTGTGGGTCATCAGACACTGAGAGATGAAATGGTGAAAAATCAAGAGGTGTGAACAATTGTTTCTATCTCACTTAGAGCTGGAGACAAAGCAGCAAAATAGGTTTGCCTTCAACACGCACTGTTGTGGGATGGGGAGCACAAATAGATCAATAATGAGGCTCCAAAAGAGGGATATTATGTGGATCTAATTGATTCTGGTGGAACCCACAGTGTAATAAGGATAATAAACAAATAAAACTGCATAACTTCATCTCTTTATTCTGTCTATTCTTGTACTTTAGAAGTTTCTCCACCTGCCTTGCTCTTCTCCCAGTAATGATGTAGCCATTACAATAAAGGTACTGGTACTTGCTAATTTGCCAAAAGGCAAGGGGGGGAAATTAGTGGGTTCCCATTTGTATGTATAATTATTCAGTTAGCCCTTTTGGAATTGCCCAGTTTACATTTTAGAACTGGTTTTTTAAAAGTCTGGGCAGGGAAGAGAACCCTAGGCTACATGAAAAGCAGATTGCTAGCAATCCTATTAACAGCTCTGGGGGTGCTGGGAGTTCAGTGCCTCACCTACAGGTCTCCCTGTTGGAGTTTGGCACGCAGCATGTATGAAGTGCCCCTGCTTTGTCTAATGCCAGACAAATTCATGCAAAATTTGGAACAAATTAAGCAAACAGCAGAGAGGTTATCTCATATGGTACTCCCAGAAAACATTGGCTTTGCAGCTGAGATCAAAGCAGTGCTAGGATTCCACATGGAATGCTCACACGGATTCCAAACTGTCCACAGAAGGGCTGGTATGGTAAATCTCTCTCATTAAAATGCCAGACTCCTTGACAGGCCAGCTTGTGATCTTTGCAGGAAGGAGGCCAAGCCAGGCAAAAGCTCTACATCTGTAAAGTGTACCTCTCTAGAACTAAACACACAGAGCAGCACCAAGGGTGGCAAGGCACACTAGGAACATGGCAGGAGCTGTCACCCCAAAGGGCAGCCCCTTGCCAGCAATTTCCCTCCCCCGCCATCAGTGCAGCTTTGGAGAAGAGGGATTCTATTCTAAGAAACAAAACAGATAACAGAATGCATCTTGAAGATAAATGCTTTATCTGTGTTAAACTGGGGGGGGGGGGTGTTGAGGCAATTTGGTATGGGGCCATTGCACAACACAGAGAGAGGTGGTTAACCTTCCTCCCCACCTCAAAACACACACCTGTTCCCCTCTCTTCAAAGCCAAACATACAGCCACCTGTACTGTGTATATGTATGTTTTCTCCTTAGTGGCTAATAGCAGGCACAAAGCTTACGCAGTAGTTAGACCATGGTAAGCACATTGTAATGATGGCCAGGCATGGGATAAATTGAACCAAACAAAGGGAGGAGGCAATTAAATATGAGGCTGCTCCCCATATCCACACTGTTCTGGCGAGATATGCCAGCGTTTGAAATACTTGATGCCTGCCAGCTAACAGTGATGATTGATGATGGAACTTTGGATCATTTTTGTTCTTTTATAGATTTTTGCAGGAAGTCCAGGATCCAAAGTTCCATCATCAATCATTGTGGAAATAGGATTTGTTTCTCTTACAGGGTAGTCGTTGGTTGTGTTTTTCCTCCCTGTTTCTTTTCTTTTTCTATTATTATTTTTTTAAGTCTTGCTTTCATTTGGTTATAAAAAGGCATATGTACCTATCTGTTTATGGGAAATTAAATTTAAAAAGTTAAACAAGGTGGGAGCTGGCGTTGAAAACATAATTTGCAATGTGTAATTTCATCATAAGGGGGGGGGAGTCTACATTGAGGAGCCACACAGCAGCTCATCTAGCTTGTTGCTATGAAGAAACAAATTTTAGGGATACTTTTTAAATAAGCAAATTGCCCTAATTTGAATTTTCTTACAACCAATTTGATTTATACCCCTGAATTCAATTATTAAGGATCTTCCTGAAACTCAACAGTTAATGGCCACTCATTTCTTTAGAGTAAATTTCCAGATGAACTGAAAAGATAAAGATGAAGCTGCTCCATAGCCTGCGGTACAATTCCCTGCTACATATTGTTATGAGTTTGTGGGGTGCCTGGATTCCCCTTCTAATTCATGGACCCCACCCCTTCTAATTCCTGGGTACCAGACGCTGGATTTAGCATGTTAAAATAAAAGCCAGGAGCCGGCTTGGTAATGGCTTGTTAAAGAAGAGTCATTAGGGAGAAAAGGGATTGGTTCTGTGCCAACTCAGAATTAGGACAAAAACATTTGAAGTAGTTTTTAGAGTTGGAAGGAGAGCAGCTGTTTTTAGGATTGCAGTTAGGGATGTTGTGGGCTGGAAGAAAAATAGTTGCAGTTGGTTAAATGCGGCGAGCTGGGCAGTGGGACAGAGGGCCATCGCTAATTTCTGCAGGCTCCAAGACTGTGGCTATGGGAGAAGCAAGACTCCCTTGGGGTGTTAATGCTGTGAGCCCCTCCATCACAGGCTCAGGTTGTATATGTGTGTAAATAAACCATGGACCATAAGGATACCACAGTATCCGCTGTGCCTCATTGTCCAAAAGGTAACACAAACCCCTGGGTGAGCGCCCAGAACCCCTGGAATCTTGCACCGCTCAGAGAGTGGGGTAGCATGTAACAATATATTGTGTGAGTTTTATTTGCAGTCATATTGGTATGCAGGCATAAAATTCTGCATAATGAAAAATGTGGTGAGGGAGGTGTTTTCCTCTGCCCCCTCCCTTCTTAAAACTGGGAAAGTTGGGGTCATCCAATCAAATGAATTGACAGTTGATTCAGAAAAGTGCTCCTTCGTGCAAAGCATAATTGATTTGTGTTTTTCACTGCCACAAGGTTTGTTGATGTTCATTAGCTTAGATGGCTTTTAAAAGAGTTTAGACAAATTCATGGAGGATGGACCTATGCCTCTGAATATTTGTTGCTGGTGGGCAACAGCCTTAGAGGACTGTTGCCTTCACACCCAGCTTCCTGGAGGCACCTGACTGGCCACTGTGTGAGGGATTATATAAATGCTTTTTCTGATCCAGCAGAGCTCTACGTTCGTTCTTACGAATTCCGTAGCAACTGCACTTCCACATGCTGCAGCTTGCTCTAATACAGGTGTGCCGCAGCTGGGTAGAACTGAACAGCCAGGCAACAATTCTGAAAGAGGCCTCTTAACAAGGCTTTAATGTTTACTTTATTCTAAGTTATACAAAGGATAAAAGGCTTTAACTGTCCACAGTGCAGCTCTGACTTGGGAATGGTGGTGTTAGGGGAGCTAAGCAAATCCATCACTCAGTCATATGCAGCTATAATAACAACAGTTTATGGAAACGGGTTAGAATTACAGTGGAGTCCTCCACATTATATACTGGTGTTGCTTATTTTTATAAGGCAAAAGCAGTTCTTTTTATATTCTATGGCCTCTATGGAGTTGAATTCCACCGCTGCTATGAGACTGTTTACAACAAAGGGCAAACAATTCTAAAGGATATTGGACGAAGCCCATTAGCATTAAGCCAAATCCTTCTAGACTGAGGTTGACACTCCATCTCTCTGTTAAGACTGCTGCTGCCAAAGACATTAGTATTTTCAGACCTCGTTTTTCAGAATCCTGAGCCCTTTGCCCATTAAGGAAGAAAACTGATTTCATTTTGCATGAACCAACTGGTCTAATATGGATCTACTCTGAAATTGGGACCAGATTTTAAAGCTAATATAACAAAATGCCTTGTGGTATGCTATCACCCTGACAGCAATCTTCTGCTCTGTCCATAGGACAAACAGGTAAAAGGCGACACAAATCTGACACAAGAACTGGCAAAATTCAGAAACCCATGGAAGGCCATTTCATTCTCTCAGGATACTCTGCTGACCTTAAAGCCATTATTCTTTGACAAATCAAAGGGAGAGTCCAACATGAAATTGCTGAACTAGAATTTATCACCAGGAGTTTTTTAGGATTCATTTGGGATGAAGACCTTTTGTCCCACTGCAAGTGGTAAATTATAACAGAAAAACTTTATTATATAACAAGGCTTTACAGTTCCTGTGAAGAACTGCTGTTGTAAATGGTCTCTGTGCTTATCTGTGCTTATACATTTTAGCTTTACATAGAACTACAACTGAATCACAAACATTGCCTCTTGCATTTTGCATCCTTTTAGTTCCATTATTTATATATCTTCCTTTACACCAGGGTATATGTTCGTGTATTATCTGCTGAGGGTAATACTTAATATATCTAATGAAGCAGGCTATAGCCCTGGCATAGGCAAACTCAGCCCTCCAGATGTTTTGGGACTACAAATCCCATCGTCCCTAGCTAACAGGACCAGTGGTCAGGGATGATGGGAATTGTAGTCTCAAAACATCTGGTGGGCCAAGTTTGCCTATGTATGCTGTAGCCCATGATAGCTTAGGCCACAATAAACCCATTAGCCTTTAATATGCCACAAGACTTTCTGGTTTTGTTCTTTGGAAAGTTTCAGAGTAGTGCTTGGTTGCATTTTTAAGTTTTTAAAATTTAATGCTCCAGCTCTGTAATGGGACTTTTCCATCTTTGGAGGATTGCAACTGAGATGGTCACTTTGCTGTAAGTTATTTACAACCTCAGCAAAAATGTGACCAAATAAATGCCCTTGGAGTGCCAAGTG